TAAGACTGAGATGGTTCAGATCTGGAGCTCAGACCTTGGACTGAGACGCCTCAAATCTAGACCTCAGACCTAAGAGTTAGAAGTCTCACAACTTGGATCTTAGATCTAAGACTGAGAAGCCTAAAATATAGAACTCAGACCAAAGACTGAGGTGCCTCAGATCTGGAATTCAGACCTAAGACTGAGATGCTTCAGATATGGAACTCAGACCTAAGACTGAGAAGCCTCACAACTTGGATCTCAGACCTAAGAATGAGAAGCCTAAGATATAGAACTCAGACCAAAGACTGAGTTGCCTCTGATCTGGAACTCAGACCAAAGACTGAGAGCGTTCAGATCTGGAACTCAGACCTAGTTACCGAGATGCCTCACAACTTGGACTTGGGCCTCAGAGGCCTCAGTACTGGAACTCATTAGAGTCAGGTGTATGCTGAAGGCCATCAAAGGAAACAACCGCAATGTTTCTCCTCACAACCGTTGAAAACGATAACAGTTCACCGTGACATAGAAGTGACAACTGTTCAAAATTGCCTCTGTTCACCCAGCAGAAAATGGGTACCCGGTGAAATACGTCAATCAGTCTTCATTCGGTACTTAAAAGGCCACAGGCCTATAGTACAATTATATACACAATATTTACAACTGAGCAGCAGAAAAAAACATATGTCAAATATTTACAGTTTACAAATGTAAAGCAGATTTTCTATGCATAAAAGCAAAATAGATATACATTGACAGGTTCTGTAATTCAATAGTATTTTCACTTGTTAATAGTGTGGTGATTTTTATTTCATTTGGATGGGTAAAATATTAGGATGTTAACCAATTTTCTTTCTAAGGCTTTGACATTTCTCACGTTAAGCTGAGTGACTGATTATAAACTGGATGCCCGTTTTTATATCAAAGCCACATATTCATTTTCTGGTATTTTTTTGCATTCTATGGTAGAAATACATTTTTTAAGACATAGAGGACAATATAATATTTCCTGTATTTCCTACATTTGTACCTGCAATATAACAGTCGTTCCGTGTTTTGACATTTGTTGCCGACAATCATTCAAGGCACTAGTTGACAGCCTGCTGTCCGTTTTCTCTGTTTGCATTTACCAAATAGTTTAGCAATCTTGTTAGTGTCCGAATTATTAAAGGACACATAGGACAACACCAATTCGTGTGGAATTTACGCTACACTGGGCCAAAGTTGTCAATGGCCTTAGCATACATTTGACGTCTGTCAAAATGTCGTCCCACCCGCTTGGCCTGAATATATTGTTGTCCTTATTCTTGTAATATCAGATGTTAGCATAAATCTAAATTGTCCATCATATTCGATCTTTTCGGACACTTTATATCACATAAGGACCAAATGATAAAGGAAACTGATTCTTTTGTAAATTTCACTTGTCATAGAGTCGGCCACCAACCAAGATGGCGGCCACTGACGCTACGTTGTCCGTTAAGTCATAACAAATTGTCTCGAGGTTCTGATTATTTCTACTGAGTGGTTCTAATTGTATTAGGACAAAAAGGACAACATAAGGACAATTAGTAATCACTTACTTGTGTTAGATATGACACTTCCTATACAGTGTTTCTTGTATGAAAGCCATCAAACCTGTGTTCTGATTGGTTCAGAAAGGTCACATGACCTCCTGATGATGCCTATAAATACGATCACTGGACAAGGCCTAGGCTATTCACATTCAGATTCAGATTCAGATTCACATTCACATTCACATTCCATAAGACCAATCTGACACTTCACGATACTTTGACATTCCATCCATAGGCTCCTACTCTGACTTTTACATGGCACCTCTACCACCCTCATATTTATCACCTTAACTGCCACTAGGTATATATATTTTTCAGTCAGATTTAGAATCACTTCTTGCTAATATATTATACACAGTATCATTTTTGTAAGATATTCAAGTTGAAATAAGAAACTATTATTTCCTTGGAGACTGAGCTTTGCCATTAAATCTATCAATAGGCCGAGTAGCGTTTGATCAGTACTGGGGATAATTATTGGCGTCATTTATTGTTAATAAGTTGCATAGATCTACATTGTTGCCATTAAAACAAATATAAACAAAAAGTTTGCATGAATCACTGCAAACTTTGCTTCTCTACTTCATCATCTCCTTGTGTTATTTGTCTCCACACGTGCACCCCAATACAATATGCTCACTTAATTAGAAGAAAAGTAATTATAAAAAGTAAGACTGGTGACATTAAATCGGAAAAGTCCTTGAGTTAAAAGATGATATTTTAATAATTGTATTTTCAGAAAACCAACATTACATGTAACGTTCTCAAGTCAGAGGGTAAGTTTCCAATTAAATGTTTCATTGTTCGAAACCCATTTCGGTGTGCTCACTGTGTTATGGCTGGAATATTGCTAAAAGCGGCGCCAAACCAGAAAAACTCGCACACTTACACACTTGAAAATCGAATCGTGAAGATCAGGGTTGGGACTGGTCTTCAGCAACCCATGTGTGTCATAATGGGATCGGGTGGTCAGGCTTGCTGACTTGGTTGAAACATGTCATTGTATCCCAGTCCCGTAGATCAATGCTCATGCTATTGATCACTAAATTGTGTGGTCCAGGCTCGATTATTTACAGACCGACGTCATATAGCTGGAATATTGCTGAGTGTTAAACAAAGAAAACAAACCTCCAAATACTTGAAAATCGAACAGCTCCTCCTTCTGGGTCCTCCTGTCACCCCTTTTAATGACGTGGAACCCGAAGTTTATTATTGGGAGTTCCCAAAACTGGAGCCTGGGTTTGACAAGGAATAGACGGAATGGTTCAAATGTATTTTACACGGTGTGTAATGTGAGTGTGTGCAGGGCAACAGTTAGCTGTGTTCGAGGGTCACAATAAAACTAAACCAAATTCTTGATAATGCATTAACGTTTCTGTAAATTTGGACATACATTGGTGATGTGCGGTCTGTTGTGTCCAGGTCACAAATCAGTAGGTAGGCTATATTGGTCACGGCGAGTCTTTGGATGGGTGACCGTCTTGACCACTGACAGACTTTAGTCCCAAGGCAAGTGAGTTTGTTCAAAAATACCTCTGTTCACCAAGCAGTGAATTGGTACCCGGTGGGATAAGATAGTCATATGACTGTTTACGTTCCCGCGCCTCACATGCGGCTTCACTGTGGTAAAAATGTCTTCCCTCTGTATTTTTTTCCTTAGCGCCACTGAGCATCTTTGAGATGGCGCCCTAAAAATGTATGATGTATTTGTTACAGACTGCGAGTTACTTCCTGGCATGTTTCGTGGGACTTCGGTAGGGAGACCAAGGGACTTCGAGGTCAGTTACATAACGGTAAACCGTTCTGTGGGATATGTCCCTGTGGCTGTTTTCAAATGGAAACCGTCTTCTTCAGGTAAGAAATATTTGTGTTCTTTGAGTGTTTTCAGATGTACATTACCAAAATATATCTTGAATAAACACGATCAATGGCCTGGGAAAGCCTCACTCAGAGCCTCAGAGACTGTTGTGACTTTTAAACCTTTAGTGCCAATCTAAAAACACACATGTTCAATATAGCCTTTCAACTGAAGCTCTTTGCCTTCACTGTATTTTATTTTGTGCGCTTTGAGTATGCTTTACCATGGATATATGCGCGGTACATATATGCTATTATTATTCGTTGTAAACTGATTAGACTTAACGAAATAAATATGTCATAAGCTTCCACAGCTCACTAAAGTGGCTTATTTATTATTCATTCATCGATAGTCGGCGACATGAAAGCATTTTTCCATGTAGAAAGCTTGGTATTATCACTAACCGGCGCACATATACTACACAGTAACGGGGATAGTGAGTAAGTGAGTTTATTGCACACAGCGATATCCCAGCTATATGGCGGCGGCCTGTACATAATCGAGTCTAGACCAGACAAACCAGTGATCAACAGCATGAGCATCCATCTGCGCAATTGGGAACCGATGACATGTATCAACCAAGTCAACGAGCTTGACCACCCGATCCCGTTAGTCGCCTCTTACGACAAGCATGGGTTACTGAAGATCAATATGCTAACCCGGACCTTCATGGGTCGTAACGGGGATAGAGGCTGAGGGGCGGAAGAAATATTTCCGAGCTGATTTCATTTGTGTTTGATTTTCTGTTTCAGTTAAGATATTATACCCCAAAACAAATGTACTGATGTCTAGTCATTACTCTAAGAATACTTCATATTTTATTTAAAAAGAAACAAAAATCGAGTTGAATATACTCATGCCAATAATGGTTGTCACCCCCTTCAATTTATTTAATTGGTGTGGGGTGTGGAGAGGGTGTGTGAGGTGTGTGTGGGGTTGGGGTGGGGAGAGGGGTGAGAACCATTATTGGCATGAGTATATTTTAAGTGTTTTACATAAATAGCATAAAAAAACTTATGATGAGTTTCTTAGGCCTCTTTTCTTTGGAAATCAACAAATTAGCTTTTTCCAGAGTAAATTTACAATCTTTCAAACATGAAAGGCGTTACGTGGCTGCAAATTCATTTCTTTCCTCAGTCTTCTTTCATGAATGATGCTTAAGTGGACATTGTCAAATGTAATAACAGGATTTTTAAATTTTCAATTTAATAACAGCACAAACATTGTACAATGTATTACTTCTTCTGATTAATAGCTCACATACACACAGGTACCAGTGTGCTTCTGGAATTTACGTGTGTTAAATTGAATATTTTTTATCCGTCGAGCCATAGATAATATCGTGCTTTAAATCGATAGTTTGTGACCTCTTTATTTAGACTGATGTCATTTTTTGTTTCAACATTTATTTTGTGAAAACTGTGCATAAAGATTTTATTTAAATGAATAAACCATGTCAAATCAGTGCCCGTATTTACCAAGTCGAAGCTACCATCAACAAATAACATTAACAGTGGTACTGGTGATAATGGTGATTATTGTGAAACTGATAAAATCAATGATTATGGTAATCATTGCAGGAGTAGATGCAGTACATCTGAAAGGCTTCCAGTTGGAAATAAGGAAACTGCATGGACCAGCTGAATATCCCATGACTTCCTGTCGAATATTTGATCTCACAGGAAACAAACTTCAGGGAAATGATAACAATGTAAGTTATCTAATCTAAATACGTATTTTTTCTGGAATAAATTATATGGTAGCTTCCCTGAGGGTTGGTAGTTAGCATTATTGAGAGAAATGCATTATTTATTTAAGTGCAGCGTAATATAGTGCCTATAACTCTATAAAAAAAAGTCTCAGCCGAATGCAAAATAAAAACCAACGATTTTTCTAATTTCGTAAACGAAATTGTTTTATCTTCATGCTGAAAACTTTCATTTCAGCTGGAGTTCTCTGAAATATTTCCCGGATTGGGGACAGGGCCAGACATTCAGTATCGGGCCACAGTATGCTCACTGCCTCGCGAGACCCACTGCCAGAGTAACTATTTCGCCCTACCGGAAGTGAAAGGTACGTTGTTTGTGCGCTTGTTTTTTGTACAACTCCACCAACTGCAATATTCATGGGGTCGGTAGGTAATCGTGGCTGGGCCAGACAGTTCTGCTACTGACGTCATGAACATCCCTTTAAACAAATGGGATACGATGACATGCACCACCCAAGTCACCAAATGAAATTCTTTTTACGATAAGCATGGGTTGCTGAAGACAAGTTTTAACTCGGGTCTTCACGGTATAGACAATGTGTAGGTGATACCGCGGAAGGAAGGCGAATGCATCGCGTCATGAGAGCTGTACTATCGCTGGTGTATTGCGGAGATGTACCGAAACTGTAGCGATTCTTCTACAAATACTTCTACCAATAGTTCCGTAGTAGGTATTGAACTTAGAAAGATATTTCTGTGATGTTGTTAGTTAAATCATAATCTTCATATAAAATGGGAACTATTTGTCATGAAATTCATCTACATTGAGAAAGGAACAATATTATTTCTTGACGTGAGTCACTTTCTGACTCAGTTATTGCTAATCCAATGTTGATACATAGTTACTGTTATGAAATCGATCAACATCAGAGGATGTCAGAGGTTAGTAGACTATTGTGAAAAATAGCATGGAATCAGTTTACCATGGAGTATGTGAACTGCATTATTCTCATGCATACTAATCCCATTTTGATAAGGATCAAATCATGGATTCAACAGCAAACTATTATGTCGGTCAAATTTGGTTTAAATACCTAAGCTTATTGTAAGCATGAATCCTTGGTTTCAGTATGTCATAGCATCTTGTGGATCCCATACCTGCTATTGACATGTATTGTTTATTTGTCAATGACTCGTTCCATGATTTGTAAAATGGTTGATTGGCGCCATGAAAACCATTTTTATGCTTACTCGTGTATCAAGAGCATAAGGTTAGCTTAAAGTGGTTGTTTGCCTATAGAGGTGCTACCATATTATTATTTATCCAATTTTATATGGACACAATTCCAAATTATAAATCTACGATTAAGTAAAGTTGTAATTTTCTGTGATCCTTAGCAAAGTGTGAGTAGTATACATTACAGCTGAATGGTATTTGATGAAGGCAGCACAACTCTTTGCAAAAAACAATAGCAACTCCTGTTTCACGGTTCTATTTTTCAGAAAGGTGAGAAGGATGGCAAAGCACTGTTGGTAAAACCTTTTTTGTACTGCATACCTTGCACCATTTTATTGGTTTGCGAACAATTATTTAACATATGCTGGTTCAAAAATCCGATTTTAAAGATGGCTGTAGCTTTCACACCATGTTACGTTGGTCCTCATTCTGTCATTTCTGAACGTATAAATGCATTATTTTTTAGGTACGAAATGTGCATAACATGTGCTCTCAGTCTCATAGCGTTCATTCACCTGATGAATTAGTAAATATATACTCCGAAGCGTGTATTCCTCATAATAAAGACATTAACATCCATAAAACTCCCTTCCTTATGTGCATCCCTTCTATAAATGCCATTGAAAGACCTGAGGTACGAAATGTGATACATATTGCATGATAATTTAAAATGTTTTGTCCTTCTCAAGCATGTATCGGCAAGTCATGGATGTATACGCACTGAGAGTGCCTGAAGCTTAACCGTAATCGTCACATGGCTCTGATTCTGACGGTGTATATTTGCTCTTGCATTTGCTTAATCTGCTAACATATATCGAAACTCGGGGCTTTTGGTGGTTTTATATTTCATTGTAAATATCTGCTCATGATATAGTCGCAATTTTACAATCGACTCTGCTTTTGGCAGAGATTTCTTATGAATGTGGAAAGGATTTTGTCGCTTCTATTATGTCTTTTTAATTTGTTAACAGATATGATACGGCCGCCGATTGGAGCCCATTGATAACGTATCGTTTTTCAAGAAACTCCAAACTCCTCTGTAATGTAGAGGTGACCTTTTCTCTCGCTCCGACAGAATACAAGTTTGAAGAGTACCTGGTATCAATGTATAAAATGTCGGCGCAGGACAATCCATTCAAAGATTGTACGTTACACACTAAAAACCGACATCATGCAATAAGGTAAGCACTGTGGCTTTGAAGGGGCGAGTGTGGGAGTGGGTAGGCAGTTTGATGGGGGTGGGGTCGTGAGTGTCTGATGACTGATTTGGTGAATGAATGAGAATGGTTAATAAGTGTGGATGGGTGAGTGGGGAAACAAGTTTTAGCACCGACGAGTATTCTACTTCTACCGTTTTTGTTTGTTTGTTTGCTGTTTGACGTCGCACTTACCAATATTCCACTTATATGGCGGCGGTCTCTCAATATTCGAGTCTGGACAACACAATCCAGTGAGCATCATCACGTTCTACGCAATTGGGAAACGATAACATGTGTCAACCAGTGAGTGAGTGAGGTTAGTTTTACGCCGCACTCAGCAATATTCCAACTATATAGCGGCGGTCTGTAAATAATCGAGTCTGGACCACAGAATCCAGTGAGCAACATCATGAGCATCGTTCAACGCAATTGGGATACGATAACATGTGTCAACCAAGTCAGCAAGCCTGACCACCCGAAATCGTTATTTCTACCAGTAGGTATCAAGTAATTGATGGATGGAAGGCAAACTAGTGTGATATCCACTTTTATTGATGTTTTACAGACTAAACTTTCACCGGTTGCCACGTCACGCAGAATACCAATGATTTATGACGTCATTGTATTCACTATAGACATCATTGTTTTATGACGTGTATTATAATGTGGCCGTGTCTATGAGATAAACCCTTTACTCGTAACTATATAGCACTGAACCGGTGGAATTGTTGCTCGATGTGACCGGAACAGGTTTCTGGTTTCATGCCTAATATCATTGTCTCGATACTGTTTCTCAGTAGGATGTTTATTTTCCTTTATTTTGCAGATTTCCCACCTGGCTGAAAAAAACGCTACATCCGGGACTGTTATCTTTGAAAATATTCCCGAAAACAGGTATATGTTGGAGGTAAGGTTCCGATTCAAATCAACGTGTTACCTTATGACACTTGTTTTTTCACTTAAAATATTCATAATTTATAGCTAGGGGGTGATGATTTAAAGGAGGAATCACCCATTTTGTTCTGGGAAGGGGTGTGGGTGTGGGGTGGTTGGGGTTGGGGTGTCATAAATATTGTACACATGTACTAGGGGGTGATTTTGTACATGACAGAAACTGAATTATTGCTCAAAGTAATTTTAAAACCAACTAACTTACAAACTAGACATCTACATTCACATCATGAATTGAACGCGTCCCTAAATTGATGTGACCCTTGGTATAAAATACGCATAAAATTCAAGCAGATGGTCCTGCTTTTGAACAATAACTAATCTAGGTGATACAACATAGAGTGATATGGTATAGGGTGATAGATTTTCGACCGAATACTGTCATGACACCTCACACTTCAACTGCTTGACAGCAGACTTTAAATGAACAAGTAGGGCACATTGAGATGACCGAAACAAATTGTTTAAGTGTGGTTATACGTGTTGTCCAAGTGGTCAGTGTTATATGTCCACGACGACTACAGTTGTTGTGATGGACGCCTCCCCGAAGTATCTGGGAGTGTGTAAAGGAAGTGATCATTATCGAGCGTCTTGACAATGTGTTGTTGTGTGATTCCGATTCCGAGAATTTCTAACCATGAACATATCAACAGGAAATGTTTACACAATATGCAATTTGAAGGTCTGTGAGTGAGTGAGTTTAGTTTTACGCCGTTTTAAGCAATATTCCAGCAATATCACGATTTAGAAATATCATCTAACAGAAATGGGCTTCATACGTGGTACCCATTCATCCTGAGTATATTTCCTGATGCGGGGCGGTGGGGTAGCCTAGTGGTTAAAGCGTTCGCTCATCACGCCAAAGACCCGGGTTCGATTCCCCACATGGGTACAATGAGTGAAGCCTATTTCTGGTGTCCCCCGCCGTGATATTGCTGGAATATTGTTCCATATTGAGTTTGTTGTACAGTATTTTACGGAAAGTGTTGATATCTTCACCCTCCGTTTGTTCCATATTGAGTGAGTTGTACAGTATTTTACAGGGAGTTTTGATATCTTCACCCTCCGTTTGTTCCATATTGAGTGAGTTGTACAGTATTTTACAGGGAGTTTTGATATCTTCACCCTCCGTTTGTTCCATATTGTGTGTGTTGTACAGTATTTTACGGAAAGTGTTGATATCTTCGCTTCAATTACACAATTAATAGATTTAATGGGTGAGACATATTTGTTTGGTTTATATAATTCCTCCAACCTTGAAAAGTGAACTGACAACAATAATGGATTTGATAAGTAACAAATTAACTTTATGGATAACAGTTTCTGTTGTATCGCGTCATAACGTTTCGGTGTAGATTCGTACAGTTATCAGGCTGGACTGGACCCAACTAAAACAGAGCGCAAATTACATTTCAGTGAGTGATCGAGTTTAGTTTTACGCCGTCTTTAGCAATATCACCAGAAATGGGCTTCACACATTGTACTCATGTGGAGAATCGAACCCGGGTCTTCGGCGTGACGAGCGAACGCTTTAACCGCTGCACTACCCCACAACCCCTACATTTTAACGAACAAATCATTTTATTATTTATTCAACTCATCGACCGAATCCGTATAGTAAGAGTTAAATAGCACAACACTACTCGAGTAATGGTTGTGGTGTTGACAGATTTTGTGTTGTTTTCTAGGTCCAAGCAATAGATCCCTACTGGCGCGAGGACAAATATGCCTTGTGCTTCTCTGTCCAAGAATCTGGCAGTCACCAGCGCAAGGAGTGCTTGCGAACACGGATAAAGAACATTACTATTGGTAATGCAGGAGAACGTAAGTGTTATTTTACGCCGCTGTGACAGATATTACAGCGCTTAGGTCCCGTAAGACCGACCTTTGGATGGGTGTAAAAACAAACTGGTCGGTTTGCAGGGGTGTATCTATAAGGTCGACTGGTTCTAGACAATGGGCAGTCACTGTTTTTACAACGGTATGGTTAATGCTAAAATGTTCACCGGAAAATAAGTTGACAAGATTCACGCTGTAAAATGTCATTTTGATTTAAACATTCATTTGGACGGTAATTTCTATTGTCTACATACCAAATAACACACATTCATACAACATAATATATACATAAAAAAGTTTATAGCACTATAATAAGCAACTTTAAATAACATTACATACAATAGCACTACAAATGACCATTTTCTTATGAATTAAATTAACGGTCGAGCAGGAAACGATAAATATGGAAATTTTACTTTATTTCACACACTGGAACAAGTGTCATTGACTATGTCTTAGTCTCCACGAGTTTGTACAAAAGTGTGTCAGACTTTAACATACTGGCCATGCCAGAATCTGACCTACCATTAACATGCACATTTAGTTTAGACTCTCAGGTGAAACTACATAATAGGTCAGGACAGGTGTTGAGGCCATGGAATAGACTCAAGTGGAAACCAAACTTAGTTCAAGTATATATCAGTAACCTAGCAGGTAAAATCAGTGAGCTACAAAGATTATTTGTGGACAGCCTGGATAATTATGACAGCAATGAGGCTGTGCGCAATTATCTAAAGTTATTTGTGAATGTGCAGCTACAAGTGATATGCAGTCTGAAATGAGGGGCGTATGGCACTTTCAAAGTCAGCCCAAGTGGTGGGACCAGGAATGTGAGACTCACAAGCGTGAGAATTATTGGTGTTTAGATAGGTTTAGATCATCTGGCTCTGACAGTGACAAGAAGAACTATACATCATCAAGAAACATGTTTAAGAATCTATGTAAACACAAAAAAGCCAAGTATGACATGACAGACAAACCAGAAGTGATGAGAGTCATTAGTAATGGAAGTGTAACAACACAAGACTTGTGGAAATATATATTAAACGATTTAATAGAAAAGGGAAGCCTGGTCGTGAAGCAATCTCACCAGAGGAGTGGTTTGAGCACTTTTCGTCACTGCTAAACAACATCAACTTTGATACTTACTCTGATATTTGTACACACGTACATGAGTATCTCAGCAGCTGTGACGATCACACACACTGTAGTGACTATGTTGACGCTGGTTTAGAGTAGGTTATTACCATGGAAGAAATTAGTTCTGTGATTAATGGCCTTCCCAATGGTAAAGCCCCCAGGGCCTGATGGAATGTTGAACGAGCATTTAAAAAGTGTGTCTCATTTACTTTTGCCATATATTCATATGTTGTTCAACAAAATATTATCAGTTGGAGTCTACCCCTCAGCATGGACAGAGGCAATAATATTCCCCATCCATAAGAAAGGTGAAAAAACAGAACCTAACAATTATAGGGGTATATCTTTGTCATCAGTTTTAGGAAAGGTATTTACCAAAATATTGAACAATAGGCTTTCAAACTGGTGTGAAGCTGAGGACAAATTGTATGAGGAACAAGCTGGCTATAGGAAAGGCTGCAGTACCTTGGACAATATTTTGTATTGCAATATCTCGTTCAAGAATATCTATCTAAGTCTAAAGGATGTTTTATTGCTTATTTATAGATTTCTCAAAGGCACCTGACAGTGTTCAGCATCACTTGTGGCAATATGTATCATTGCAGAGAGGTGTGAATGGGAAGTTTTTCAATGTTATTTCATCTCTGTATAGTCAGCTAAAGTCTTGTGTACTTGTAAATAGGAATTATTTATCTGAGTACTTTGAGTGTACAATTGGAACCGGGCAAGGGTGTATGATAAGTCCACTATTGCTCACTTTGGTTTTGAATGAGTTGGTAGATAATCACAAGATAAACAATTGCAAGGGTATTTTTGTGAATGAGTATGCTGAAAATATTACCTTGTTAATGTTTGCTGATGATATTGCCAATGTTGGAGATTATGTGGGAAGATTACAGCATCACATGGATTGTTAAGCAAGATTTTGCAGTCAATATGGGATGAAGATTAATTTAGATAAAACTAAAGTCATGGCATTTCGAAGAGGTGGTGTAATAACAAAAAAGGAAAAGTGGCATTATAAGGGTATTCCTCTTGAGGCAGTGTCAGCCTATAAGTATCTTGGTGTGTTCTTCCCTCCTAAACTCTCACGGAGTTTGGCCAGAAATACCCTAGGACAACAAAGAGAAAAGCCGTGTACATTTTATTGGGATTTTTAAGAAAGTCTAAGCTTTACATCAAAGAGTCTATGTTTCTATCTGACAGGATGGTTTCTCCCATCTTATGTTATGCATCAGGAGTTTGGGGGTTTGAAAGTTTTCAGGCTCTAGAAAATGTTCACCGTAAATTTCTCAGAAAAGTTCTTCATGTCAATTCAAACACTCCAGCAGCAGTTTTATATGGAAAGTTCGGAAGATATCCACTACATGTAACAATAAAATACTGGTTAAAATCTTTATACATGCCCACAACTAGATATCCTGATGTTGTATCAGCTTGGTGGAGTTGGTAGATCCACATGGGCAACAAGAATCAAACATTTGTTGAATATCCACGGATTTGGTATAGTTTGGCTGGAACAAGGTGTTGGTGTTGTCTCACATTTTGTAGAGAACGGGGAGGTGGGGTAGCCTAGTGGTTAAAGCGTTGGCTCGTCACGCCGAAGACCCGGGTTCGATTCCCCACATGGGCACAATGTGTTAAGCCCATTTCTGGTGTCCCCCGCCGTGCTATTGCTGGAATATTGCTAAAAGCGGCGTAAAACCAAACTCAGTCAGTCAGTTGTAGAGAACGTTTGCAAGATTGCTGGAAACAAACATGGACATATACCATAGGTGAAACCAGTAAGCTTAATAACTATTTCATAATCAAATCTCTGTTAGAACCTGAAAGCAAAAATGTAAGAATTGTTCTTTGCAGATTCCGATGAGGGAATCATAAGTTAGCTGTTGAAACTGGTCGGTGGTAAGGTGTTGCTGGGTATGACAGAATATGTAAATATTGCCTTGGTAATTTGAATGTGTCTGCAGTTGAAGACGAAGTGCACATTATCACTTCATGTCATTTGTACAATAAGTTGAGAAACAAGCTTTTACAAAGCATTTGTACAAGCAATTTATGTAATGTTGACAAATTTAAGAAAGTTATGACAGATAATACTATGTTAGAATCATTAGAACTGTATATTCTAAAGTGCACACAAATCAGACAGCGGAATGTTAACAGCTAAGGGAGACAACTGGCAATTTGTTTGACTGCTTCATTTATTTTGGTGATGGGGAAACTTAACCATTGTAACTGTTAATGATATGCATTGTGACGCGAATTTGAATGTATCTGCAGTTTATGACAAGTGTGCTTTATCATGTCATTTCATTTCTATGAGAAAGTTGAGAAACAAATGTTACCAAGTGTTTGTACAAGCAATTTATTTATGCAATGTATACAAATTCAAGAAAGTTACGACGGACCATACAATGTCCTAGCACTGTAGAATCTTTAGCACTGTATTCTATTCTATTATATGCTATCCCAAAAAAGAAACGCATATGTGTTTTGTATTTTTTAAAATCTATTAATTGCCTATTGTGTTCAAACAATCGTCAAAATATGCAACAAAAGTGTTGATAGCATGATTTTACATAATTGCACAAGTAAAAAAAGATCGACTTTATCTGAAAATGTTGATATTGATGAAATTTCCTACAAGGATTAAAAACGCATTGCCACAACGCAACAAAAATAACCTTCCAGTTGAAATTGTGCAGCAAAGAGCATGCACTGTCTGGCTATAGAAATCCAGATTACTTTCGGAAATCGGCACTCGTTTTGAAGGAGTTCCAAGATCAAATCACTACACCACGTCTTGACGGTGCAACACGGAACATCGCCATTGAAAGTGCATGTACGCTGGAGATTATCAACGTTTTGTTGCCAGGCGTCTTAATGTTAGTCTGAGCACGATATCACGGCTTGCAGCTCGTTTCAACCAAACAGGTATAACAAATGACCCTCCCCGTACAGGCAGACCTCGAATCACCACTGCAGCCCAAGATCGGTACATCCGGGTACTACATTGGCGTGATCGTACTGCCATGAGTGAGAGCACAGCAGCCAGGGTGCCTAGACTTTGGAGGATATCCGGTCAAACTGTACGGAACTGGTTGAGAGATTGGATTGAGAGCTAGCTGATCCGACGTCGGGCCGTGCTACGTCGTCACCATCGCGCTCAACGTCTTCGTTATCTGAAATTATAACTTGGTTGCATAGACATTTCCTTCTTCTAAACTGATGCAAAACTTCATGTACTAAAGTCTATTTGTAGACGAGTTATACATGTTAGAAAATACAACATTTTCGCAACAGATTTCTGGCATATGCGTTTCTTTTTTTCGATAGTATATTATAATAACTTGACTATACTTACTATATATGTGTACTCTGGGCTGGATGCCTTTGATACTGAATAAAGAATCTTGAATCTTGGAAAAAAATTAAATAATACAAATCATAATTAATATATAAATCATAAATATTTATAAATCATGTATCTTCCACCACGAGAAGTAGGAAGATACCTATTGTGCATTTGCAATATCCCATATATAACTGAAGTTGTGGAAATGTTGATGAAAACTGTCAGTTCCACCATTCTTATAGCATGCAAGTTTATGTAAGAAATTGAATAACTCACTACTAATGAATTGAGTGAACTAAACCCACTCACTAAACCCGCTGGTTCACATATCTATCCGCTGGTACAAATATCCTATTTCGTTGCCTGAGTGGACACATTTGACATTTTACAGAAAACCAGTGTCTTATTCCCTTAAAACAACACTGTTTTCTCAACATCAAAAATCAAAAGATTTTCACCTCGACCCAAAGGTCGAACTTACGGCACTCGCCTATTACAGCATCATGGCGGGGTATCCATATATGGGTTTGGTATGGACTCGTGTTAGCATGGCTAGGTCGTTCGTCCGAGGGTGGTAATCACTATGCAAGCTCTGTTCCTTTATGGTTCGAGCATCCGATGATCGCTTGTTCGAATCTGTGGTTTATAATTACCTGTGTCGAATTCTAATAACAAAATTATTCCGGGGAAAAATGAGATTATTTAAAATCAGTCGTATGTTATTGTGTTTTAAAAATACATAATATTTCCGCATTACTATTGTAAGAAATGCATGCCATATACTTTTATTGAGGGTATTGTTTTAATACAAAATATCGGTATTGTTAACGAAAAAGCACAAGAAGTAATCTAAAGGACAGTAGTGAATGAGTGAGTATGGTTTTACTCCGCTTTTAGCAGTATTCCAGCAATATCACGGCTAGGGACACCAGAAAGGGGCTTCACACATTGTTCCCATGTGGGGATTCGAACCCGGGTCCTCGGTGTGACGAGCGGACGCTTTAACCACTAGGCAACCCTTTGCCCCAGGACAGTAGTGACATCGTCATGGAGACGTGATCGCCTAAAACTCATCAGGATATTGGGGCCCTGATTACGATCCTCAACGTTTTAAAATGTTAATCCCACATGATGTTTAGATCTCTTCACCCATGGAGACCCACGTGACAAAGGTAAAGTAATGTAGATCCAAGTAATTATATCAAGATTTTGGAGAGTAGCGTAAGTTTTTCAATGATTCAGGATACAGTTTCTTAATTTAAAAAATATGAACTGATATGATCATCTATAAAATGGTAGGTTCATAACTGTTAGATAGATATTGGAACATAGCGATATCTGGCCATGTACAGATTGAATTCATAGGTGAGATAAACTGTACTCTGCGGTGTAAGTGAGTGAGTTTAGTTTTACGCCGCACTGAGCTATATTCCAGCTATATGTCGGCAGTCTGTAAATAATCGAGTCTGGACCAGAGTCTGGACCAACAGCATGAGCATCGATCTGCGCAGTTGGGAACCGATGACATGTGTCAACCAAATCAGCGAGTCTGACCACCCTTTAGTCGCCTCTTACGACAAGCATGGGTTACTGAAGATCAATATTCTAAACCCGGATCTTCACCGGTAGTACTCTGCGGTAGTCAAGGATGAGGTACATTGTAAATGTTAGGTTATACCTCGTAGACATCCGGGTTAGCATTGATCTTCAGCAACCTATGCTTGTCGTAAGTGGCGAAACTGGATCAGGTGGTCAGGCACGCTGACTTGACTGATACATGTCATCGTATCCCACTTAGGAACATCGTTGCTCATGATGTTAACCACTGGATTGTGATTATTTACAAACCGCCTCCATATAGCTGGGATTATGCCGAGTGCGATGTGAACCAAACAAACAAAATGTTACGTTCTACTTACAGGTGGTGGAGCAGATGAATCATCAACAGAGCCCAATATTCTACAAACTATTAAGGACCAAAGTGAGTATTTACACTTCGTAGGCCACAGTACAGTAGCAAGGCGTCTGTCTATCACGCTGAAGGCCCGGGTTCGAACCCCGGTGGAGCACCTATGTTCGGGACCCGAGGTGGGCACATTTGCGCAGTATCATTTGACAAGATACTTAGATCCACGTTGTCTCACTTCACCCAGCTGTACAATGGGTACCCGTGAGGATGTGCTGGCAATGTCAGTGTTTAGTTCATTGTGCCTAACAGGCAGCATGGCTGTATGGTCAGAAAGTACGATAGTGTCCTATGACCGGGGATAGTAATGTACGTAGCGCCTTGAGCAGGCAATGTGCCTGGATATGAGCGCCATATAAGCGGACTACAAACAAAAAATATGGGAACACCCTAAAATTTGATAGTCATACATAAACTGAAACGTGGTGAGGTCATTTATACTCTAAGGTAAATGGGAAGTCTGTCTTCCACATGCACTAGGCTGTTGTGTTCGGGCATTTGAATCAAACATGGTGCTTGTGTATTTTAGCAACCTTGTTTTTTGCTGTTTTTCACAATGTTTCATTTCACTCGAACTCAACGAATATTGAATCAGTTACTTCACTGCATGGTCAGCCATGTCGTTTAAAGTGCCCATTAAGCACACCAAAAGTTGCATTTACCTTAGAGTATAAATGACCTCACCACGTTTCAGTTTATATATGACTATCAAATTTTAGGGTGTTCCCATATTTTTTGTTTGTAGTATATTACTATTTACAAACCGCGGTCATATAGCTGGGATTATGCCGAGTGCGATGTGAACCAAACAAACAAAATGTTACGTTCTACTTACAGGTGATGGAGCGGATGCATCATCAACAGAGCCCAATATTCTACAAACTCCTTACGATCAAAGTGAGTAGTTACACTTCGTAGGCTATGTTGATTAACACATATTAACAGATATAGGAAGTTTTTTTTCTGTTGGAAATTAAGTTTCATAAAAATAATGACATGTTTGTATTGTGGGTAAAGTCTTTTATTTAGGACATGATTATATCACATGTTTAGGATAATTTTTAGATTATAATTATATTCCAGAGAGTGAGGACACATAGTGCAATCTTTATCATGCAGAAATGATGGCTTACTTCGTTGTGTGTTTCATCGTCGTCTTTCGTTAATTACAGGTGAGAGACCACGTGAAGCACAGACAGCACCAATTTCGCCAAGCCTTAGTAACAACGGTGAGCATTAGCGGGTGAATCGCTTCACCGGCGCATTCATATGACAGACAGGCAGCGTTCTAAATTATCGTCGGTCCTTAGGCCCTAAACCGACTGAAAACCACTCGGAACCCACAGCTTTTTTTTCTACAGGTCCTTATGGCCGACGATTTCATCCCCTATTAACTAAGAGAATTATTTCCATGTTAAAATATAGGGTCTACACATTCTGAGGAGGACCCACGACTTTTTATGGATATGCTTTAGTTTATATATACTTCTAGAAATCTATAATGTTAAAATGCCACGATATTTCATCGAAATCAATGTTAGGAATGAAGGAACCGAGAAGGAATTTTAATATGTGAAAAGGTCATGATCTTATCTTGTTTCAGAAAGTGATCTGGGTTAACTGTTGCCTTTGTTTCAGAAATAAAGACACTGATAATCGCCACAGGAATATGTGTTTGTGTGGTGGTTCTGTTTGCCGCCATTTTGATCTTCATACTTGCACGAAAGAAGGTGCAAATTAAAGGTATGTAATATACCTAATTGGTTCTTTCATTCAGCGATTCTGAAAATACGGAAGATATTTTACCACGTGAGGGATGTTTTTGGATGTGTCGAAATGCAAAGTCACAACAAAACCAGTGTACATACAATAATATTGAATATTATTATCCGTATGATGGAACATAACCAGTGTAATATATATCATATAAGCACATATCACTTTTGCCTAGCAACCATTGTTTCTGTATTTCGTCGTCTGTGACGTCATTAAACAATTGAACGTGACGTCAATGAAGTGGGCCGTTACACTTGCTTACCATGTTTAACTGCACAAAACTACATGGAAAAAATGGATTAAAGAGAAATTATTACACTCGAGCAAGTGTGTCATACGACTTATACGAAACGCGTGCAAAATTGTGTATTTCCCGAGCTCTGGCTCGGGCAATACAAAATTTCACACTCGTTTCGTATAAGTCATATGACACACGTGCTCGTGTAATAATCTCTGTATAATGGCTATTTATAAAGCGCATGTTTCCACGCACTCGTGCATGCTCAAGGTGCTATAATAACCTTGACCTTATAAAGTAACCTTTTTAGGGTTTATATTTGGTCTAAGATAATTATAATACCTAGAATTTGTTGTCGGGGAATTAGCTTGGGACCGCAACACCTTCAAATAACCAAGAGAAGCATCGACTAGTGGCCAGTCTTTATTCGGTGCATTTCATGAGTCATGTTATATAATTAAACATTAGCAATATTTCAAACTTGGACAATTAATACTTAATATGAAAATCATGTGAATTAATAATTACATAAACCTTACTGACAATATAGCTTACAATAACAATTGCCAAGATTACACGGAAGTGAGGACACTTCATATTATATTGGAAACATAATACACATGATGTAGCGCAGCTGAGAAATATGCGTAGAGAATGATGAGGTAACTGTTCAGTAAGACACGTAGTACATGTGCTATCAATTGCTAAAATAATCTTCTATGAAAGTCGTAAATGATAGGCGTTACTTTACTACATCCCGACAGAATACAACCTAAGCAGAATAATAAGAATACACAAATAATATAAATGTTCAGTCTGCTAGTTGAATCATATGACCACATCTGAATATCTAGACTGTCGCGAATTACTAAAGATAATATGCCGAACGGCATGTTATTGAATAAGTATACATATACATACTTAAAGCTTTACAGTACTGAGAACGTAGCAATATGTGAGCAACAGAATGAAACAACAATGTTTATGTGCGCTCAGTGGTTTTGCGTGTACCGTATTGTAACCTCACATAATATGTACATTGTTTAAACACTGGTTGATGATAGGTAGCATGGAACATTTGAGTTTAACACATATAATAATCATTTAGAAATACATTCACTGACATTCACTTTCACTGCAAAGACGCAATAAAATATACAACATGTGCGCAAGAATTGCTTTGCTTCCACGAGTCCGATCATATGTAATTGTGATTTACTGAACCTATATTATGTCTTAACGTTACTACATTATACTGTAGACTATTTTGATGTAAGATTGTGTTAGATTGGTTCTACATGGTCTGGCACAACTATGATACAGATATTCCTTGTTGTACTTATTCAATACTGCATAGTTTAAATGATGATACTGGCATAAACTAACAGTATGAAACGTAATAGAAAACAGAGAAAATATGAACATACTTTAAGAACATACAATGAATGAATTGAACATGGCTTACCTTCAAATAACCAAGAGAAACATCGATTAGTGGCCAGTCTTTATTCGGTGCATTTCATGAGTGAAATACCCCGAATAAAGGCCGTTATATATACCACCGATGCTCTCAGAGTTCGTGATATGGTCGCGCGTTCAATGGTCACTTCATTAAACAATACTTACAAATGTTGCTATTCTACACTGCTGACTATCTAAATCTTAAGATTACCTCGTAGCTTTGAAAGACTTGAGAGTGCAGAAATGACCAAAATTATCTAACAGTTTTCTCGGAGAGCGTGTTATCATAGAGTAATGTTTACTTCTCTCTCCGGACATGTCGTCTTAACAGTTAGTACATAAGGCTTATCAAGAAAACTTGGGAATGAAGACGAGCGTATATTGATACTGACAGATTATAGACTTGGGCCGGACCATGCATGTAGTCTTAAAGCTTAACACATAATGCTAATTATCTTACAACTTGGAAAATGAAGATCAACACTAACTGAGACAGCGTTTAGAATTCTCGTTATTGAATAAAATATACAAAATGTGCTGTTTAGTCCTATTTTATAAAGTCACAATTATTTATATAAGATTGAGGAAAATATGACGTATTTTAGAACTATGATAGTGCTAACCCAAGCTGCCTGTGAGGCGTTAGAAGGTTCATATGATTTATCCCACCAGGTACTAATTCATTGCTGGGTACATATAAAAGACTCAACATTAAAATTCCAGTTTAACCGCGAAACAAGTTTAAATGAAACGACATACATTGAACATTTTGTCTGGACTAGGTATTTGTTGAACAAAGCCAAAACGTCTTTTATTGCATTTTGTTTCCTCCGTAGACTGTGTATTAATAAAAACTCTAAAATAAACTCTAAAATGTAATATTAAAACGTATATTTCCATTTTGCTAAGCATACATCTAAAACTGCGTATCAATCTACTTTCAGACGAGAGGTTTCCAATGAGAAGGGTCTACCTCCTCGCTTATGACGACCACAGAGCACATACTAAAGCTGTTCAAGCACTTGCCACGCTTCTCAACAAGCATTGCTACTGTGATGTGATATACCCCAAGTGGTTCATCTCAGACATTAGTAAAACTGGCTTGTACGAATGGATCGTCACGCAGATGGACAAGTCCGATTTTGTTGTTCTTGTGAACTCCAAAGCAGCCTACTGGACCTACACTGCCCAAAACAAGGACACCTTTTTTCGGGCAGGAGAAAATGGCCCTTTCTCATTTTCAACGTCACACCTGCGCTCGAAGGAAGGAAAGCAGGATTTCCTGTACACCGCAATCATGACGTATTTTAACTACACCGACTCCAATGACGTCATTCCCTTTAACCCAGGTCTTCAATACAAGTTACCCGAGAATTTTCCTGACCTTGTGAATCACATCCATGGTTGCAACAACATCGGTCTCGGTAAGAGTGACATCTTAAGATCCGCAGAGGGAAAGGCCTTGGTGAAAGCCGTCGATGAAGCTAAGGCCTACCAGCAAACATGTCCTGACTGGTTTTCAGCACGGGTGCCGGAGAGTGTCCAGTGGTTGGTGTTGAATCAAGTAGAGGTTGAACCTGAGAACGCTGTTCCTTCACTAAGGGCCTCGTCTATAGTGCCTTACACATACACGTTAACTGAAACGCAAGCTTTGTCTATTGACGGTGATGAAGCTGTCACACTCGTCCTAGAAGATGAGACGAAGTTTCCGATACATCATGGACCTGGTTCCTCGTCTAACTCTGGCATGGTACTACAATCAAGTCAGTTCTCTCCAGAATACCTGCACCCCCCAGAAAGCTATCCTGAGAGCTTGGGTACTGAAGAACTTGAAGTCAGATTATTTGCCATAACTAGTAAAGCTTTTAAAAACTAATGTCGCGGTTTCTTTCAATCGAATGTGCCCTCAAATGTCTCTATAGTTCAGATGTCAGGATATATTGTTTGTAAAATTTGTATTTGTACATCATTGAAGTAGCCGGACACATTGTGACAGGTTGTTTGATACGCCGTGAATATGTTAAACCCCTTATGACGGTTGGAAGGGGGCGGTAGTGAATGTATTCCGTTTCAATCAGAGAAACCAGTACTGGTCGCCAGTATGATCAACAACCCACGCTGTCGGATACGTCGTAGGCATGCAATCATCCAAAGCACAAAGCCTGCTCCGACAAGCATAAGTTTGCTTGCACCAATCCAAACCCAATCCATCCAATTGGTGCACCAATGTGGGGAATCGAACCTGTTCTTCGGCGTGATGAGGGAACGCTTTGTTCATAAGACTGCCCCATCGCCCCTAAATATTATGAGAATATAACACGCTCTTTCCCCTCATTCTCTTCCCACAGAGGTTACTTCTGTCATATCTTCCTACGTAACCTCTGTTCTAATACGGCCCTTTCATGGTGTGAGCGTTCAAGGCTCGTGATTGGAGACAATCAGATTTAGTTGTGCAATCAGCGACGTTGTTTCAAAAGTGATCATTCGCAAGGCCTCGGTAATTTCCGTATGCTTCGAGAAAACTAAACTTCTTCCCCTGCGCGATGCGCAAACGTTTCTTCCAGACAGAACTCAGTCATGTTATGGCGGAACAGTGGCGTCTCCGTCGCCCTCGTTGACAACGGACAAGCTAGCCATTAAACGTCTTGTGTGTAACATCAACACAAGTCCCTGGCAGATGGGGGATATTTGTGGCCCCACATTTGCTTGTGTTAGTCAAGTTGAATCTAAGTCGATGTAACAGGTGTTCTGATTGGATAGAAAGAAGGGAGATAATTCGTGTTGCGATCTTTTGCCGCTAGGGGATTTTACGAGAACTGGGAAATATGGCCGTATTAGAACAGAGGTTACGTAGGAAGATATGACAGGAGTAACCTCTGTGGGAAGAGAATGTTTTCCCCTCAGTTTCATTCAGATATATCCCTGCTTGGATCCAGGTCCAGAATATATCACAGGGGCAGAAGAAAATCATAGTTTTTCATTATGTGTACCACGCCCCAGCTTATAAATAATCTCTCTGTGAATAAATATATTTCGCGCAAATGTATATTTTGTCATATGTAATTTGCCAGTCCCCTGACGTGAAATCCCCCGTTGTCATTAACATGGGACTTGATGGACTTGTGTTTTATGAAACCACCATGTTCTGAATAGAGTTGCATTTCTTAGATGTGCCAGGATCCACAGCCCAAAGGTTCCAAGGTACACCACAAGAGACCATGTTGATACATTCACTCAAAAACCCACTCACTCAAAACTCAAACAGACGGACAAAATGTATCATAGCCAAGTCCCTTCGTACCTGAGCGATTTGACGCTTGACGAACCTATTCACGTGGTGTGAAATAGAGGATGCCTGTCGATGTGGTTTACAGTCCGTTTGAGTCAGAAACGGATCGATGAATTGCAAATTTTATCATTGTACAAAATTGCCACATAAATATAAATAGTACACATGTTTATCATTTACTAATACCAAACAGCTTTCTGATATTTGAAAATTTTCCGGACTCCACCAAAAAAGGTTATTTAAGAAACTATCATCATTGAAAACGCAAAAGTTGTTATCTGTCGCGGCGGGGTGAAACCGCAGAAACGGAACAGCCAGTCATGGCGGGGGACATCTCAAAATCTATTCCGGGAGACCTGTCGGTTCCTCATCCGTTGTAGTGTCATAGTCACGACTTAAAGGGATGACAAGTGGTGCCACAGTTGCCTGTTGTAAGCCATCCCGAGACCAGTAACCTTGTTCAATGACGTTAGCTACCTTGTTGACACAGTTTTGCCAAGTTCAGTCGTGATTTTGGTAAGGGATTCCTTAACCAAAACCTCTGCGTCAAGTAATCTAAAAGTTGTGTTTGATCTGGCAACGTCTCCTTTGACAATTCTCCTAGTCGTCCCCATTCCCGTCTACATAAAACACAACAAGCACATACTGAACAACAGGAACCGACGTGCGTTCCGCGGCCAATTTATTTACATTGTTTCATCACAAAACCTACATTCAACAATATCATGCGTGAATAACGAAATGCATGCTGAAGCCCGACACGTAAACCAGAGATAACAACTCCCGTAGAGAAAAAACTCTGGAACCGTGTTCCCCCAACGAATGCAGCAGCAGCACCAAAAACTGGAGGGTTTACAGTATCGTTATCATTAAACATGGACATAGCTGCAATCCAGCGATACGTTTATGTAGGTTGATGTGAGCATATGCACAACTGACAACAGCAGCATAAATGACATAAATATAAGCATTGTTTACACAACATTCAAGCATACACCTGAGATTCATAATATACAGTATGCTGACAATTTCTGTCATCAAAACACAGGAGGTATTCAATGGACAATATCATAACAGCCAATACATTATTCCCATATTACCGTAGTATAACCGCTCGACATTCCAAAATCACCGTATTATAACAGCTCGACAGCCGACATATGGTATACATTCCAGTATTACAGTATTATAACGGCTCGATAGCCGACATATGGTATACATTCCAGTATTACAGTATTATAACGGCTCGACAGCCGACATATGGCACACAATACCATATTACCGTATTATAACGGCTCGACAGCCATAAACCACCATGGTTAAAAGCACTCATGCCACATCACACGAACGATGATCATGAGCATCTGAAACATATAGAAATACAATATTAGGATACAAACATGTTAAATGCTGAAAGGCCGGGAGTGCACTAATCGAGAATGCCAAATTCAAATATCTACACCCTTATATACTCCCATAACACGCCAACTACCGGGCAGATAACCCATGTGAACGCTTCATACCGCTAGGAGAAAATAATTTCCCTCTAATTCATACTTCAAACGATAGAAATAATATTTCTCCTAGTCGCCCCCATTCCCGTCTACATAAAACACAACAAGCACATACTGAAAAAACAGGAACCGACGTGCGTTCCGCAGCAGAGAATAGCAAAGAAAGTTAAAGGCCCAGGGATAAGGAGACTTTCATTCTACTACTTCGACTTCTCAATAAAAACAGTCATATGAGAATGAAAAAAGACAATATCTGATCTTGTTATATTTAAAAGCTCTGCTGATCTCAAAAACCCAGAATAAGCCAGTAAACATACAGCTAATATTCTCAAATCCGCCAATGATGCATTTTTACTCCTGGAATCGTACACTTTATGTAGAATATCAATATCAACAGGCTCCTTCTTCGTTACAGGCTTAGCTAATTTACGTTTGGCTGCTTCTAGGATATTCTTCACCAAAGCATTATCAGTGGGACTATCCATCCCCATGCTATAATGAGCATATCTCAAGCTATAATAAGCTGACATAACAGGCGATATAGTGTCACTTTGCTGCACAACCGACAACAAATATGTAGCACAGTGTAGATGAGAAACTGGTAGCTGACAAGGCATATCATTCAACTCTGCCCACCTTTTCCACGCAGCAAAACCATTCTGGTACTTATTAGTTGACTCAGCTCTAGCGTGCGATATCAACTCTGGTAAAGCTCCCGCCAGCTCCCTAACATTGAGTGGCAACTCTTCCAAGTCCTCCTTATACAAGGACTTGAACACATCTGTAACATATAGAAAACAATCAGGAAAAATGAACTAGCAGTGACAACATATTAAAATGTAAATCATGTTCAAACATGCCACCTGGTATTCTACTTGGTACATAACATTGTTTTGACGATGGTAGATACATAACGTCCTAGACTTGTGGAATAAACGCTGAGTTGCAACATATCAAAGGCCAAAAACATGCTGAATGCCATTCAGGCACTACCAAAGTCAAAAGTCAAAATATGTTTATTTGTATGTAAGGCCATCGGCCCATATACATCGGTTACAAAGAAGGTTCTTATTTAGGAGGATAACAATTGTTTTCTTAACATAATAGCATGATGGATATACAGTGATAATCTTTTTAAAATGGAGACATCTCATGAGGAAACAATTTTGTAAAATGCTGCATTATTACTTCTGATTGTAATACACTTACGGAGATAATCAGAACGGATTTTATCATAGGCTGGACATTCAACAAGAAAATGTAATTCGTCTTCAATGCCTTTTTTACAAAATGGACATGATCTATAATTTCTATCAATGGACAGTCTTCTTCCTTCATTTACTTTTAAATCTAATAGCCTAATCTAATCTAAATTTTACAAGTAGCAGTCTCAGATTCTTTGTAGTCACGAGGGATAAATATCTTTCTGGTTCTAAAAGGGACTTAAACTGTCTGTAACAATCAAAACGGGAGCTTTCTTCTAACCTCGAGTGCCATTCTTGTTGAAAAATACATATACAGCGATCTCTAAACTGGTTCAGGAAAACATTGTCATTACCTACGCCTTGGTTTAACCAGACGATACCAAAACCTTTAGAACAAAGAAGGTTCCTTATATGGGAAGCCCAAGTTTCTTTGCCGTTACTGTCTAAATGTGGGAAGCATATTGTAGGAAATTTTCGGGAGACGGTGATCATGCATTTGTTCTATCTTTAGCCAGTATTTTAAGCATCTAATTTGATCATTAATGAAAACTGGAAATCTCCCACATTCTCCATATACCATGTCGTTAGGGGTAGATTGTGTAACGCCTAAAAATTTCTTGCAGGCCAGTAAGTGTATCTTTTCAAGCGCTTGGAAAGTTTGGAAGTCCCATATTTCGGAACCGTACAAAAGAATGGGCTGAATTTGTACATCAAATAATTTGAAAAACACGTTGTGGGTAAGGAAACCAACGTTGTTCTAAACGGACATGAGGTATAACAGTGCTTTCTTAGCTCTGAGAGCTAAATCTGCAGCACAATGTGTCCAGTTCATAGTAAAGAAAAGCTTCACACCGAGGTATTTATAATGATTTACGACATTAACGGGTTTAGAATTAAAACACCACTTTTCCTTGGAAGAGAGGGGACCACCTTTTCTAAATACAACAATATTAGTCTTTTCAAGATTTACTGATAGCGACCATTCTGAAGAATATCTTTCTAGTATGTTTAGTTGGTTTTGTAACCCAATAATTGAGGTAGATACTAGAATTACATCGTCTGCAAAAAGTAACATAAATATTTCAATAATGTCGGGAAATAACTGGACACCATGCCTACCTTGCAGCGAAATATCATTACATAACTCGTTTATGAAGAAAGAGAACAGGATAGGGCTCATAATACATCCTTGTCTTAAACCGACTGGACAATCAAAAAAATCAGATAAACCACCTTGACTGCGTACACATGATTTGATATTTGAATACAATGACGTACGCATGGTGTACATTTTGCCTCCCAGGCCAGCATTTCTAAGACAAAACCATAGTTTGGAACGATCAACTGAGTCGAACGCCTTTTTAAAATCAACAAATGCGACATACAATTTAG